GCCAATTTATGGCGGACGAATACATGTGAATTACGAGTTTTATTCTTTCCAAATAAATTATGTTATCAAAGTATGTCTCCGTGAAATTTGTTTTGTAAACGCCGTGATGTACATTACGTCATTACCCAATGCAACTTAATTCGCGAAGGGCGCATGCGCGATCTTCATATCCTGTCTCGGCTACTGATAGATCAGTCAAGACCCCCCCCCCCCCCCCCCCCCCCTTTTCTACCTCCCCTCTATTAATATGTTTCTCTTTAAATATGGTGTTCTGAATGTATTGTTGCTCCCCCGTTTTGTTTTGTATGGCATGTTTTATCTGGTTTGGAGATGATCATTTGAGTTCTATGGATACATTTTCGGAGAGAACTGTGTAAGGCGGTGTCTGTCCGACGAAACTTCGACTAACATTAATCGCACAGTAAATATCAGGTATATGGCTTGTTGAAGATCTTCGTGCACACCGGAATGTAAATAATTAAATATCAAAATTCTGTCAATATTTACATTTCTATAGGTTTGAACATGTTATCAATTTACGAGGACTATTGCGCATGTGAGTGCTTTATAATATAGGATTCATAGTTAACGTTGGGAAAACCCAAGTCGTTACTCTTGGAATAGAATATTTGAATTTGAACATTTGAATTCTCTTACTTATTACTTAAAATGGAGACGGAATTTTGACCGGAAGTGTTCGGGACTATTTAATTGAATTCGTGTGGTCTCAAGTGGAGACAATGAATTCGTTGATTGAATTGATTTGGACTTTTGCTATAAATGCCAATTGGGCGAGCATGGCAATAAAGCCTCGGCCTTATATTGTCGACTTGTGTGACTGTTATCTTTTATAAAGTACCGTTGCAGGGCTGTCAGTAGACTGCCATCGTGAGTATGTATACTTAGACTCTCTGGTTTTAATGGACATGTCTTTATTTAATACATGCCTTGACATAAGAACTAGAGTCGGAACGTCTTTTTGACGTCTTGTTTTGCTAAAAATGACAAGAGTCATCTGAAAGCTCTGACTTAAAAAAAGATCATCGGTTCTTTTGTATTATTTGACGATAATATTTCATATATTAAGCATATTTTGGCTTCATCAAGTTTTTGTTCAGTTTTGTCTTATATACTGACAAATACATCGATTTGAAGACAGTGACTGACGGACGTTGTGTAGACAGTGACTGACGGACGATATGGAAACAGTGACTGACGGAGAATGGGTAGCAGTGACTGACGGACGATGTGTAGACAGTGAGTAACAGACGATGTATAGACAGTGACTGACGGACAGTGTGGTAGACAGTGACTGACGGACGTTGTGTAGACAGTGACTGACGGACGATGTGTAGACAGTGACTGACGGACGACGTGTAGACAGTGAGTAACAGACGATGTGTAGACAGTGACTGACGGACGATATATAGACAGTGACTGACGGACGGTGTGTAGACAGTGACTGACGGACGATGTGTAGACAGTGACTGACGGACGATGTGTAGACAGTGAGTAACAGACGATGTGNGTGTAGACAGTGACTGACGGACGATGCAGACAGTGACTGACGGACGATGGGTAGACAGTGAGTAACAGACGATATGTAGACAGTGACTGTAACAGACGATGTATAGACAGTGACTGACGGACGATGTGTAGACAGTGACGGATGGACGATATGTAGACAGTGACTGACGGATGATGTGGAAACAGTGACTGACGGACGATGTGTAGACTGTGACTGACGGACGATGTAGACAGTGACTGACGGACGATGTGTAGACAGTGACTGACGGACGATGTAGACAGTGACTGACGGACGTTGTGTAGACAGTGACTGATGAAGGATGTGTAGACAGTGACTGGCGGACGATGTGTAGACAGTGAGGAAAAGAGGATGTGTAGCCAGTGACTGGCGGGCGTATACAATGACTGTCACTGCCAACATATCTCGTGACGTGATTAACATAACGTGATTCGACCTTTTTAAGGTTTATCATTTATCCTCAACTTCAATGAATTACGATCATTATAATAAATAAAACCGTATAGACAGTGACTGACGGACGAGGTATAGACAGTGACTGACGGACGATGTGTAGACAGTGACTGACGGACGATGTGGTAGACAGTGACTGACGGACGATGTGTAGACAGTGACTGGCGGACGATTTGTAGACAGTGACTGACGGACGATGTGTAGACAGTGACTGACGGACGGGGTGGTAGACAGTGACTGACGGACGATGTGTAGAAAGTGACTGACGGACGACGGGTAGACAGTGACTGACGAACGATCGCGATGTGTAGACAGTGAGTAACAGACGATGTATAGACAGTGACTGAAGGACGATGTATAGACAGTGACTGACGGACGGTGTGGTAGACGGGGACTGACGGACGATGGGTAGACAGTGACTGACGGACGATGTGTAGACAGTGACTGACGGGCGATGTGTAGACAGGGACTGACGGACGATGTGGTAGACAGTGACTGACGGACGGTGTGGTAGACAGGGACTGACGGACGATGGGTAGACAGTGACTGACGGACGATGTGTAGACAGCGACTGACGGACGATGTATAGACAGTCACTGACGGACGGTGTGGTAGACAGTGACTGACGGACGATGTGTAGACAGTGACTGACGGACGATGTAGACAGTGACTGACGGACGATGGGCAGAGAGTGACTGACGGACGATGTGTAGACAGTGACTGACGGACGACGGGTAGACAGTGACTGACGGACGACCGCGATGTGTAGACAGTGAGTAACAGACGATATTTAGACAGTGACTGTAACAGACGATGTATAGACAGTGACTGACGGACGATGTGCAGACAGTGACTGACGGACGATGTGTAGACAGTGACTGACGGACGATGTGTAGACAGTGACTGACGGACGATGTAGACAGTGACTGACGGACGATGGGTAGAGAGTGACTGACGGACGATGTGTAGACAGTGACTGACGGACGATGTGTAGACAGTGACTGACGGACGATGTGTAGACTGTGACTGACGGACGATGTAGACAGTGACTGTAACAGACGTTGTGTAGACAGTGACTGATGGACGATGTGTAGACAGTGTCTGGCGGACGATGTGTAGACAGTGACTGACGGACGATGTGTAGACAGTGACGGACGGACGATGTGTAGACAGTGAGTAAAAGACGATGTGTAGCCAGTGACTGGCGGGCGTATACAATGACTGTCACTGCCAACATATCTCGTGACGTGATTAACATAACGTGATTCGACCTTTTTAAGGTTTATCATTTATCCTCCACTTCAATGAATTACGATCATTATAATAAATAAAACCGTAATTATCATAAGACTGTTTTTGAAAAAAAATCTTAGTTCGGAAGAGAACGCGGAAGGGTCAACGCTGTTGCCACTGCCGATGTACCGAATATGTAATATTGTGACGTCACAATTGGTCTGACGTCATAGGCAATAACTTCCTAGTTACGCAATATTTACACTTACTGCTCAGCCTTTGCTTACGCGTTTATATTTTGCTAACGAATATCAGTGAATTATGACGACCGGAGCTCCACAGAGAGAGAGAGTACCGGGTGTGAAGGCGGTGCCTTTGTTTGATCGTGGTACCTTGGATATTTTTGACAAAGAGAAGAAACACATTCACAGATGTCCAGTTGAACTTTTCGAGGCTAAGAGGGGACTTGGACAGTGCAACTTAAATTTCCTGGCCACTATGGCGGATAGTTGGAATACGTGTACTTCTGTTGGTGACGGTCTGGTGTATTTCTCAGTATGCAAGACAAAACTGACCAACAAAAACAGCAGTACTGACAGAAAGACCAGAAAATTCAGGCCGAGAAAATTCTTCCGGAAATTCATCGGAAAAGGCGCAAAAGTTCAACCAGCATCCGAAGGATAAAATTTCAAGTCATTTCATAGGCTGGATTCTGTCTGTACTGGGGATAATCAATTCCAGTGTTGACAATGTTTTAGACAGTAGACAAGGATAAAGTGTATCTGTCCTTCTGTGAAAAGCCCATAATTATCTAAAAGAATTATGAAGGAGTCGACATTCTTTCGGTAACATTCATGATTTGTAAATGTACTTAATGAACAGGGGATAATCTGTTCCAGTATTGACAACATTTAGACAGCACACCAGGATTTATGGACACGGACTTTTGAGTGAATTCTTTATGAAGTCTGTAATCATCTTGAAGAAAGATCGAAATCTCTCAGTAACTTTCATCATTATATTTATAAACGTACTTATACTGGTATAGTCATCTGTACGTATTGTATCCATACTGAATTTCACTTGGTCTAAGTTTTCAATAAATGTATTTTTTGAATAAAAAAAAATAAAAATCTTATGTGATGATTTACAACTTAATCTTTTCAAACATTAGATCACAAGTGCACCATCTAAACCTGCCTTTGTGATTAGGGAAACATTTCTCCAACACAAACACCTTCCTTCAAATCAACACTGGCAGATCAGAAAGGACAGTACAATGTATTCTTAACATAATACCCCCTGTTCTATTTTTAGTGACAGTGACCTTGACATTGGAACTTTTTTTTAATTACTCTTTAACATCTTCATATACATGTAACAGTGTATTAACTTATCTATTTTTTTAGAAATTTTCTTGAATCCTGACATAATCTCTATAAACTGAAGTGTGGACAGATGGGTTGACAGATATATATGGACAGATAGATGGATGGACAGACCGACGGACGGACAGGTAGATTCACAACTACAACGGCCTCTCTGAGCCTGCATTAGGTTTGGATGTTATTTATTGCCTTCTTAATCAAGTGGGGCCAGTTTCTATGATCTGTCAGCATTGGCTTGACCAACAATGGCAGCTAGAGTTCCACATAACTAACTAGCTATTGGCTATACTTACAAATCTGATCAAACATGAAAAGGGATAGGAAGAAGTGATGGGAAACATGTAGATTCTTTCAGAAGAAGACACAACAACTAAGGCATGTTTCTGTTGAATTTCGTTTACAAAATAAGAAATAAAATCCATATGTGATGGACATACACATTGTACATGTTATATACACTTTAATGGGAAAGACAATGTAGGTTTTTAGGCCAAATAAAAAACAATCTGTCGCCTACTACCTGTACTTTCACTTATATATTTCTATATATCAACCTGAAATAAATTGGTCCTTTACATTTTTAGCTAGTGAAGCTCCATTTTAAATACAGAAGTCTACTGAAACACAAACTATCTACTAACACCTTCCCTTATTTTTGAAACAGAGACAGATCCTTTTTTATTTGGCCTTGATTTTTTATTTTAAATATATATTAAAATGACGATTCACTACTCAAGTCTCTGCCGGGAACTCTCGGTCCGGCACAAGGACCTGTCTTATGTTAAAGTTAATTCGTGTTTGGCTTAGATACTTTGACATCAGGTCCCAATCATTACTATGTAGTCTTTCTACAACGTGTCTGTGTGCAGCCGAATCACAACTAGCCGATGTACAGCTCTCCGAATCGAGCTTGATGTCTGATAGGTCGAAACACCTGTGGTTTCTCTGTGGATCTGTCTCCATTATTCGCGGAACAGCGTGATAAACAAGTCTGGCCGAGGCACTCATCACACAAATGTCCCCACTCCGTAAAAACACAGCACTCGGCTCCGTCTCCTTCGTCTCTCCTCCTATCAGAAATATGGCATCTTGTCCGAAACTGAAAATAAAATCAATAACTTTGTTCAGTAGATTCTAACCTACAAATATTACCAGTATCATGAAAACAAAACAAAATTAATTATCTCCCCTTAGATTGTTGGGAATTTTTATTCATGATTTTCACATGTCGTTGCCAGAGACATTATAATTATTTACTTTTGCTTTAAAGTTTATTATATTGAATACATTGACATTGTTAGAGAAACAGTTGATTATATTGAATACATTCACATTGTTAGAGTAACAGTTTATTATATTGAATACAATGACATTGTTAGAGTAACAGTTTATTATATTGAATAGATTGAGATTGTTAGGGTAACAGTTTATTAAATCGAATACATTGACATTGTTGGAGTAACAGTTTATTAAATCGAATACATTGACATTGTTAGAGAAACAGTTTATTATATTGAATACATTGACATTGTTAAAGTTACAGTTTATTATATTGAATACATTGACATTGTTGGAGTAACAGTTTATTAAATCGAATACATTGACATTGTTGGAGTAACAGTTTATTATATTGAATACATTGACATTGTTAAACTTACAGTTTATTATATTGAATACATTGACATTGTTGGAGTAACAGTTTATTATATTGAATACATTGACAGTGTTAGAGTAACAGTTTATTAAATCGAATACATTGACATTGTTGGAGTAACAGTTTATTATATTGAATACATTGACATGGTTAGAGTAACAGTTTATTATATTGAATACATTGACAGTGTTAGAGTAACAGTTTATTAAATCGAATACATTGACATTGTTGGAGTAACAGTTTATTATATTGAATACATTGACATGGTTAGAGTAACAGTTTATTATATTGAATACATTGACATGGTTAGAGTAACAGTTTATTATATTGAATACATTGACATTGTTAAACTTACAGTTTATTATATTGAATACATTGACATTGTTAAACTTACAGTTTATTATATTGAATACATTGACATTGTTATGGTAACAGTTTATTAAATCGAATACATTGACATTGTTAGAGAAACAGTTTATTATATTGAATACATTGACATTGTTGGAGTAACAGTTTATTAAATCGAATACATTGACATTGTTAGAGAAACAGTTTATTATATTGAATACATTGACATTGTTGGAGTAACAGTTTATTATATTGAATACATTGACAGTGTTAGAGTAACAGTTTATTAAATCGAATACATTGACATTGTTGGAGTAACAGTTTATTATATTGAATACATTGACATTGTTATGGTAACAGTTTATTAAATCGAATACATTGACATTGTTAGAGAAACAGTTTATTATATTGAATACATTGACATTGTTGGAGTAACAGTTTATTAAATCGAATACATTGACATTGTTAGAGGAACAGTTTATTATATTGAATACATTGACATTGTTAAACTTACAGTTTATTATATTGAATACATTGACATTGTTGGAGTAACAGTTTATTAAATCGAATACATTGACATTGTTAGAGGAACAGTTTATTATATTGAATACATTGACATTGTTGGAGTAACAGTTTATTAAATCGAATACATTGACATTGTTGGAGTAACAGTTTATTAAATCGAATACATTGACATTGTTAGAGAAACAGTTTATTATATTGAATACATTGACATTGTTGGAGTAACAGTTTATTATATTGAATACATTGACAGTGTTAGAGTAACAGTTTATTAAATCGAATACATTGACATTGTTAGAGTAACAGTTTATTAAATCGAATACATTGACATTGTTGGAGTAACAGTTTATTATATTGAATACATTGACATTGTTGGAGTAACAGTTTATTAAATCGAATACATTGACATTGTTAGAGAAACAGTTTATTATATTGAATACATTGACATTGTTGGAGTAACAGTTTATTATATTGAATACATTGACATTGTTAAAGTAACAGTTTATTATATTGAATACATTGACATGGTTAGAGTAACAGTTTATTATATTGAATACATTGACAGTGTTAGAGTAACAGTTTATTAAATCGAATACATTGACATTGTTGGAGTAACAGTTTATTATATTGAATACATTGACATGGTTAGAGTAACAGTTTATTATATTGAATACATTGACATTGTTAGAGTAACAGTTTATTCATTGGAAGCAAATAAGAACATAAGGTTTGTAATCATGGCTAATTAGGAATATAATTACAGCGTCAACAATTTTGTTTACAAGTTGTTTTGATCTCAATTTAAGTTGAATTAATATGGTCACATCATGTATGAAGGTATGTGTGGCTATATTAATTTGTTAGGTAACTGTTTGTAATCTAAATATGTTTCATTTATATTTGTGACAGACCTCGCCGCACTGGTACTACCTGGTACATATAATTATTATTTTCATTACATACAATGCATTACTATTGAGAGAATTATGGAATCTGGAGTGAACACCTGTCTGATGAACAACAATGTTTTAACAAAAATTTTTATTAACTATACAACAGTTGGGACCCTACCCATTCAACTAACATTTTCATCATTGAATACCCCAATGCTCATTGATGAGTTACTGCCATCAATATTCCCATTAACAATGCTTTATGCCATGGATTTTTAGGGCTGCAAGGATACATTTACATGACGATAGGATATCACAATACTGCGGTCACGATACGATATGTATCACAATACTGCGGTCACGATACGATATGTATCACAATACTGTGGTCACGATACGATATGTATCAAAATACTGTGGTCACGATCCGATATGTATCACAATACTGTGGTCACGATACGATATGTAACACAATACTGTGGTCACGATACGATATTTATCACAATACTGTGGTCACGATACGATATGTATCAAAATACTGTGGTCACGATCCGATATGTATCACAATACTGTGGTCACGATACGTTATGTATCAAGAACCGTATAGTAACAGTAGAAACAAAGTAGGAGAAAAGATATGTTGCAGATTTTTAATGGCAATGTTTCCACTGGAAATAGACTTGGTCCAAAATGGACATGACTTTAAAGTTTCACACACTGATATAAGTAGACCAAATATGACAAAATTCAAAAAATATTGTAGGTGTATCGTAACCTACCAAAATATATTGTGTATCGTACTGTGTTCAAAATATTGCGATATATCATTGCAGCCCTATGAATGATCTATTTTGCAGTGGGTTAGAAATACTTTTCGGTAGACTTAAAGTTACCTGAAGGATATGAGTGGTGCAGAATGGTCAAACTCGGAGTGATCTGTGTGGCCGCTGAGGGACGAGTCCAGGTGATAGTAGTTGAGGACAGCAGCCTCTGGGGAGAACTTGGGGTATCCGATGGCACTGGCTACGTAGCGACCCAAGCGTGACATATCTTCTTGGAATGGAGCTTTACTGTCTTTGTAGTATTTCTGAGGCAGAGTAAACAATGGATATATTCTGATGAACAAACATTTGTTCTCTTACCCTGGACAGGTGTATTCACACTTTTACCGGTGTGAGGAGATTTCCTTATCTCACCCTAGGGTTGAGACGGGGGGATTCCCCTATTCATAACAATAGTATGACCTCACTTCAACAATACAATGACGTCACGTCAACAATCCATCAACGTCACGTCACGTCAACCCTGAATTTAGCATGTAACGTTATCATTATATTGTGTATATGATACAAATTGGGAGAACAGAGTAAGAGAAAAAGAATCATTCACCCCCTTGTGGGTGAGATAGGGGAATCTCAACTCTCATGGGAAAGATTCTTAAGTTGCCAAACACTCGGCAAAGACTCGTGTTTGGAAATTAAAAGAATCTTCCCCCTCGTGTTGAGATTCTCCTATCTCACCTCCAAGGGGGTGAAAAATTCTATCATTCTCTCATAAATATATCACTACTACATGTATATCCCCATCCAACACATTAAGAGGTTAATAACAGTGAATATTTTCATTCTATGCCCCGCCCCCATGCTGTGTTGTTGGGTGATGATAAAACAACCTCTGCTCCCCAGATATAATAACTGCACAAAGAGTTATTGACCCTTGTTTCCTGTTGATAGTAATTAACCAATAAAGGTCTGAAACCGTCATGTATCCAGGTTAAAACGGTTCAAGTACCACAGACATATTCAGAAATTTTGACCCAAGTGTAGGCAGAGATAAAATGGCAGTTTCAGAGCTTTGTGGCAAATACATAACAACGTATCAAGAATAGTGTATCCTCCTTTCACATGCCCACTAAATTTTATTACATATCCTAAAATATTTAAACATGTGACTCGACCTTGTTTTATAAGGAAATCATGGAAACTAGCAATAGTCAGCATTTTTGTTTCAGTCAGGCACGTCTTGACCCCTCAATATGCGTGTGCCGAATATTCTTGAGATCAGCCTCAAATCAGATCTGAGCGTGTCATTTTCTTTTCAGATTCAGCTGGTATAATCAAAATATGCAAAAGGGGCCACACTGTTAAATTGTATCTACTATTGAACCATGACGAGAGTTATGATATACATTGTATGAACAGTTACCTACCTTTGTGCCCCAGTGGTAGTGGTATCCCATGGTTACCCAACGCAGCTTCATCATCAGGCTCTCCTTGTCGGTTATGTCATCTCTGTAACAAAAACAAAATATGAACAACTCAGTTTTATAAAGAGAATAAGAGATGGGGAATAATTTGTTCAATAACAGACTTTTGGAGAGGTAAAAACTTTGCGGTATGAATCTAACAGAGTAATTGGAATAGGTTAATTTTGTTTTATCGGGTCAATATAACAATATAATGAACAACTTACAATCATCGCCTTAAAAAATTTAGAAACTCCTAGCTAATATTATTTTTTATAACTGATACAGACTTTTAACTACAAACAGACACATTGAGAACTAGTGGGATGAATATTTTTGAAATAATAACTTCTTTTTTCACCAAAAAAAAATACATGTCCCCCTTTCTCACAGCAGTATTTTACACTAACAGTGAAGCATGTCAATGGCATATAAGGTTCATTTTAACAATTGTCTGTGAGCTTTGCTTGGCTAATACATTAATTTTAGATACAAGCAGGTGATACAATTTCTAGGGTTGGCAAGAAAATCTAGGGTAGGTCGGGATACCGGAGACATACACAATGAAACCAGGAAAGTTCAAGGATGTATTGCATGCATTGCTTCCAGTAAACAGTAGATAAACATTATTAAACCTACCCCTACCCCTCTTGGGGAACCCCAGTGTATCATGACACATATTTAGCTTCCTTCCAGTCCCTCCATCATTTCACATTCAAAGTGTCACAACTATGTCAACTTATACAGATACTCAACTGAAAGTGCTTACTTGTGTGTGCTAATAGCAGTGTCCCAAATGTTGACATCCCCCACATCCATGTAAGCATCTAAGTTTCTGACATTGGGTCGACATGGATAATCCTTCACACAGCGAGACACCCAGTACCTCTGGTACCCATTATCAAACGGGTTGACTATGAACAGGAAGCCTGAAATAAAACAGAACATGGACATATCAAATTGCATACATTTTGAAACATTTGTGTCCTGTCTTGTGTCAGTTCTCGATAATTTAAGCTAAAGGTTGTTCTGGTTTTTTTCCTTCTGAAATAACCTGTATGTTTACTTTTAAATGAAGATATAGTATCAAAAATATACATAACCAAAATGCCTTTCAAATTAAGTGTTTGACATAATCAATATCAATGCTGGGGTATCTTGAAATCTGATGCAAAGTTTTATGTTTGCACATCCAGAATATCAATCTTAACAATTCAAAATTGTATTTCATTTCTTTTGCCAATGGTGGGTCTGGCCTCTGAAACCACCTACAATTTCAGTCTGTCTCTAGCTAAGCTCAACCTTCATTTTCCTTACATGACAGTAAAGCTCAATTTAGCTGAAACTTAATTTGAGGTACACTCAGAGTATTAGTGGTAACGGAGCCCGGCCATTGTAGCAAGTTTCTTTAATAAGCAAAATTTTCAAATTCATTTTTTTTAAACTATTTGAAGAAATATAGGTATATTTATGAATAGCATCTCAATGTAAAAAAATTGATTGATGAATCCCAGTACATGCATACTTCTTATTTGAAATAATTATGAAAATAAGACAGATTCAAAATTTACCTTATTGTGAAGCTTGATATGATCAAGTGCTAAATAGAGTTACTGTAGAGTTCACCTTGCTATTAAACATGTTTTACCTGGATTAGATTTGAGACAATATGCTTTCCATTCGCACACAGGTTTCAGACCTGTTAAAAGAGATTGACCTGTATCCTCCAACTTGAACTTTTCAACCTGAAAAATAAATTGCAGTTACAAAACAGACAAATTATATGATAAATGTACATGTATATCTACTCTGTTTATGTATATATTTTGGTAAATTTGCAATTGCATACCATGTCAAATGTCTAATCAATTACAACTCCACAATTACAAATTTCATGCATCATAATATAAACATGCAAATGTAATGATTAATTATAACAATTATCAGAGATATACTTCTGAACATATTCATGATACAACTGTTACAGGAGAGAGAGAAATGTAACGGCCAGACCGGGGTTTGAACCCAGGACCTTCTAAACTTTAGACGAACGCTCTACCAATTGAGCTACCTGGTCGCTGACTGTCGACCCAGTCCAGTTCCACTACATTCCTCCCTCCTTTTTCTAAGTCTTCAACCTGAAGATACAACTATTTACACATTGCTAAGCATTCACCCTGTGCTTGAAACAAGGGTTACCTCTGAACTCTAGATTGATGAATCACTGGCGATCAATCAAGTCCACAAAATAAAAGGATTTTTAACAAGGTACGTTATAACTTAACCATATATTGTTATACCACGGACAACGGTGGTCGGATGGTGCAGTGGATAACGCACTTGCCGGGGTTTGATTCCCCAATCGGACGTTAAAAGGTTGGGGTCACCTGCCCGATCATGTGGGTTTTCTTCGGGTACTCTGGTTTCCTCCCGCACTAAGACCCCCCCCATCGCTAACATCCTGGCCAACAAGAGTAATAAATATAAGTTGAAATAACTTGTTTCACAATTGTTGTAAAATAAATACAGTTCATGTTTTTATATATACCACGGACATATAGATACAATGTAGCAAGGACGTAGCACATTGGTTCGTTACAAATGTCTGAAATACACATATGCTATACTGATATGGGTCACATCACAAATAAACATGCATATGTTTATCAGGTCAAGGAAAACCACTAACTTGCGTATAATACGCAAACTCGCCTATTATATGCCAATAGGGGTATGGATTTGTTACGAAAAATAGCCAAAATCACTTAAATCTTAACTTTTTCAAATGGTTTTTCCAATTCGCATTTATTCATTCATGAAACATAATACAAATGCAAAAATAAACTTTATTTGCAAATCCATACTCCAACTGGCGTATAATATAATAGTTGAATTTGCGTATTACTAATTATACGCAAGTTGGTGGTTTTCCCCAACCTGTTTATGTGTGCTGTGACCCATATCTGTATAGCATGTTTATGTGTGTACTGTGACCCATATCAGTATATGTAGCATGTGTATTTCAGACATTTGTACCGAACCCCCTGCGGACGCAGATATTGTGCTACATGTATCTAAGATAGCAATGTAATATTCAGTGTTCACAACCCAAGAATCAAAGCTCACAGTGGAAAGTCAAAACATTCTCTCATGGACCGACTGAAAGCCCTAATATAGCTATAGGATCGTACACTGACGTGTCTGGGTTGCAAGAGGGGAGCGGGGGATACCTGCCTTATCCAAATTGTTTCCTTTGTCAAAATCAATGACGTCTGAAACATCGAGCGGACGATCTCTCCTTTTGTATTTTTTAAAGATTGGTTTGAAATTGTCTATTTCGTCTGGTCCACTTTCTTCTTCAGCGTAAGTGGCCATGATCTGCAGCTGCTGTCAGATTTCGACAGTTCGATATATATTTCACCACGTTTACAAGACTTTCATTCACGTTGATCACTTAATTTAAACGTTCAAAAGATGTAGATCCATTATAATATTTGAAACGAAATTTACGGATTCTAGCCGCGTTGCACCTTTTAATTTTATTAGAGACATGTATACATGTGTATATATAAATAACGTACTGGTTCCAAGTGTTTTTGCATTTACAGATATATGAGTAAGATATGCGCCCGTGCTTTGCAGAGACAAGAAGTTTGAAGAAGAATAACAAACATTTCACGGGAAGGAGATGGTCAGGTATTTCGGACTAGCATGATCAGTGTAACGTAAAATAAGGTTTAGTTTCAATTAGCTACCAAGAGGCGAATGGTTAATATAAGTATACTGTATGCATCTTAATTCATTGAATACAATAATGTATATTTTAGACGATATCGCAACGCACACAGAGGTTCAATTTTGTATTGAAAGCCACTGATAAATTATATAATTCAATGGAATAGACATGAACATGTATCCCTATACAATGTAGTATGGACCATACTTTAATTCGTACATCATACTGACTTTATATGTGTTACGTTATAATACGGTATATAATGTAAAAGAGGACGTTAGCCGATTTAATTATGTATACCAATGTAACACGAGGAAAAATGCACTGCCAGACCGAGGTTCGAACCAGGGACCCTCCGAACTCTAGACGGACACTCTACCAATTGAGCTATCTGGTCGCCGACAATCGACCAAGTGCAGTTCAGCTACATTTCTCCCTTCTTTTACTAAGTCTTCGCCCCCGAATACACAACCCTGGTTCGGGTATCCCTTTGTCAAGCATACACCAAATGCTTGAAACAAGGGTTGGTCACAGGTACGACTGTAATGTTGGACGCTCTACCAATTGAGCTATCTGGTCGCCGACGATCGACCCAGTCCAGTTCCACTAGTGCCATTTTGTTATTTACAACCCATTCGCCAGGAATTAAAACGGTATGCATATGCATGCATGTGAATATTGTATTTGGTAAATGAGGTTTTATTACCAAATTGTCCGATATTCTGCAATGTAATTAGAAATATCGTTTAGTAGGTACAGTATATATACCATATAGGTCAATTTGGCTTTTTCGTGATAATACTTGGATTTCCAGTTCGAACCCGAGTTTGTAGACTCAACGAAAATGGGGAAAAAACTTCGACCCTTCTCCGGGATCCTGACATGTACATGTATCTTGCGTAATGTTGCTCTTTTACATGGACTCAAGACCGGATTTCTTACACACAAACAATAATAAGTGATACTTTTCTATGATAATGGGGCTTAATTTTCCTATTTGACTGTGTAAAAGAAACTACACGTATTTCATATGTAACTATACGCATATTGAAGCCTACAGCAGAATCTCAAAACAAAGATGCCCGACATATACTCTTTATAACATGTACCGTCTTACTAAACCACACCGCTTATCATCAGTAGTAAATTGACTTTCTATGTCTATGGGATTTTATGGTAGATTTTGACTGGGGTAGCTAAGGATTTTACTATTGAACTTTACTATAGTTTATTTAGGAAAATGCACCTTTTGTGTATATTTTGTTCATTTTCTACTGGAAATCATTCAAACTGGATTTTGATACTTTGACATTTTTAACCCTGTCTGAACCTCGGGGACTGAGAGGCGGAGCCAAAATGGGGTCATATAGCCAGAAATTTCAACAGTCATCTTTTCCAGACTGAGAAAGGCTGGTAACCAACACTCTTCATAGTTGGAAGGGTCTTGAGGTGTTTTATAAAAATGTTGAATTTCATGACCCCAAGATTCCATGTTTGCCCCTGGGGAGGGGGTAAAGTTTACTATAGTTTATATAGGAAAATTATACTTTAGGGTATGTTTGGTTCATTATCAATTTTCAATTATTCAAACTTGACAAACATTATAACTATGAAATAACGGTTTTATACTGTGACACTTTGGGTCCGGGCCCGCCCCAAAGGGCTGAGGACGGGGCTAAAAGGGGTCAAATTGGCTTAAATTAAAAAATCTTATCCAGACCAAGATATGCTTGAAACAAGTAATCTACATAGATGGAAGGGTCTTAAAGCACTTTATCCCCTGGAGTTATGGTAAAGTTCACTATAGTTATATAGAAACATGATGCTTTTAGGTATATTTGGCTCATTTCCAAGTGGAAATCATTGAAACTTGATAGACATTATAACTTCGAAATGACAGTTTGATACTATGACAGTTTGGGCTTTAGCCATCTTGGAATTCTTCTCCAGATTCAGATAAGCTGGAAACACATAATCTTCATAGATGGATAGGTCTTCAGGTGCTTTATCAAAATAATGAATTTCATGACTCCCAGACTCCACTTTTGCCCCTTTGCAGGGGGTTAAGTTAATACTACAGTTTGTATAAGAAATTGATACTTTTGGGTTTATTTTGTTCATTTTCAATTGGAAATATTGAAATTATAACTATGAGATGACAGTTTGATACTTTGACGGTTTTGACTTTTTTTTTTTTTTTACATAACTCAGGTGACCCCAGGGGCTGAGTGGCAGGGCCCAAAGGAATCGAATTGGCTTAAATTTCAGCAATCTTCTTATCTCCTTCGCATCATACTTACCTGCTAGGTTGAACAACTACATATGGCTAACTCCACTTTCGCAATAATTACCCGCCAAGAATAAAAATTAACGCTCCCCTGGTCATGCCTATGACTGGTCCCTCGCGCATGCGCAACCATCTTTTTTCTTGGCGGCCATTTTCAATAGCTGCCTTTCCACATTGCATTCGCATATTTCGGCATTTATACAAGTAAGTGTGTTATTTTGTCGTGTCTATTGTAGCGGAAGCCTGTTAGAGGGTTCCGCTGATTGTTTTTAGTCGTTTTTGATCGGTATCGATCTTTATTTACGTACATATTATTTATTTGCCGTTCGTGGTTTACCGCGACTCGTGTCCACGTGGGACCGGCATGTCTTCGAGATCCAAGAAGTCAGACCCTGGTAAAGGGTCAAATACGACTACTTGCGACTCTAACGATCCTGGTAAAGGGTCAAAGAACTCACATAGTGCTGAGAACCGGGAGAAGGCGTCTCCCGACACAGAATCGACCGAGGGTTACTCGGCATCTAAGGGGTCAGATTCGCCATCTAAGTCGGCGAAGATCACACGGTCTACGACTGCGAGTACTATAAGTACGAAAGGCAAGGGGATGACTAAGTCTGTTGTACTTAACCTCATTCAGGGGGAGTTAAAGAGCTTCAAGGATGATATCGGGAGCATGATTAGAGAAGCTATGTCTGCCCCGGTTCCTGCTCCGGCTACCGCCACGAGTGTCGGTCCGGTCCAAAACGAGGATACACTTGATTTGGAGGATTTTGATGATTCCGTCTCCTATGGGGGTTCCCCTTCTAAGAAACGTGTGTGGATTGAGGAACAGAGGTCATCAGTTGGGATGAGTTCTCAGTACACTAGACCACTCACTCATACCTCTCATACCATTACTGGTGTGTCAGCCGAGACAGACTCGGTGAGCGGTAACTCTGATAATGGAAATGAGTTTCCCCAGGATAGAGATACCCCCCCTTCCTGGAATAAGATGATTGCAGACATTCAGAACATGCTGCACATCGAAACAAAAGAGGAACAAACAGTTGTAAGAACTTCCATGCTTGCAGATACATTTGTGGGGTTACCCAATACTCCCAAGGACTCAGGTCCTTCCTTACCGGCTGAGGGCCTTCTGATTAACTCGTGGAAAGAGATTGAGAAATCTTTTCCCAAGTTTGCCTCGTTTAAATCGAGACATAGGTCTCAATATAGGTGGCCTGAATCAGACTTTGACATGTTTGGAAAGGTTCCAGAAGTAGACGCGGCAGTGTCTACATACATTCAGTCGGTTACCCAGAAGGGCAAGATGTCTGGTAAGAGTGATCTACACCCAAAGGATGCTCACAAGGATAATACCTTTGTGTCCATAGACCAGTCACTAAGAAATCAGCAGAGAGCTATTTCCCATGCATCTTACATATTAACAGCGCTTTCTAAAGGGCTGAAGGGTGAGACGGGTACGTCTGACGAGACCATATCCCAACTCCTGGGTAGTCTAGCTGCTACGCTATCAGATGTCGGTGATTTGTCAGTCAGGGCTTCCTCTAGGTGTGTCCTAGCTAGAAGGAATCTATACCTAGACGCTATGCAGATATTTGACAGAAACACTCGCGGTGAACTGTCGAAGGTCCCTCCGGCTGGAGGTTTACTATTTAATAACAAGGTACAGCAGATCACACACCAGTCATCTGAGTTAATCAGAGACGTCAGAGAGACGGCACGAACTTTGAGTAATGTCCAACGGTCAGGTCCAGGCAAGAGACCGGCTATGGCTACTGCTACTAACAAGTCAGAGGACTCCAGGTCAGGTTCTGATAAGAAATTCAGACGCCTAGACAGCGGTAGGGGTCGTGGGTTTGTTTCCCCACTAGCTAATCAGTACAGTCAGAAATCTTCAACATACAATAAGGACAAACGAGGAGCCTCTAGTTTTCCCCTCAATAAGGCCTCAAACTCCTATAGAGGGAGAGGACGGGGTCAGCAACAGAACCCCTAGGAATCACACCCTCAGTCCTCCCATGATAGTCCCATTACAGGAGATACCAGTAGGGGGGAGACTTCTCCATTTTGTGAGAGCTTGGGAGGAGATAACCACAGAAAAATTTGTGTTGGGAGTAGTATCGAAGGGATACAAAGTAGAGTTCAGTCAAACACCGCCCTTGTCAGAGGCTATGAAGTTCACCAGTGTTCCATCAAACAAACAGAAAGCTCAGGTACTCGTAACGGAGATCGAGGCCCTTCTTGTAAAAGGGGCAATAGTAGAACTGGGATCAAACCCAGGACCGGGATTTTACAACACCCTTTTTGTTGTCCCCAAGAAGAGTGGGGGGTTCAGACCCATCCTAAATTTAAAACCGCTAAATCAGTTTGTGAGATACCAACATTTCAAGATGGAAAATCTAAGATCTATTATCCTAGCCTTAAACAAGGGCGATTGGGCAGCGTCGATAGACTTAACAGACGCATACTTACATATCCCTATTCATGTAGAAAGTCAGAGATATCTAAGATTTGCATTCCAGGGAAGAGCTTACCAGTTCGTAGCTCTCCCTTTCGGAATCTCTTCAGCACCAAGGGTATTTGTCAAGATAATCTCGGTAGTACTAGGTCATCTGAGGAGTCAGAGGTTCCATCCTCATGGATACCTGGACGATTGGCTTCTTCGAGAACAACTCCGAGAAAAGTTATTCTCGGCAGTTTAGAGCACGATACCACTGCTAACCAGGTTAGGTTTTCTTCCGAACTGGCTGAAGTCTCAGCTTTACCCTACTCAGGATTTCCAATACATCGGAGCCTGTTTCCGTCTAGACCTAGGGCTGGTCTTTCCTCCAAGGGAAAGAATCTTAACACTAAGAAAACTGTTCTCCATAGTAGAGCAGAGGGAGAGTATTCAAGTACGGTATGTGCTTCAGATCCTGGGTCTGATGAACTCATGCATAGAGGTCATACCATGGGCAAGACTACACATGAGACCCATTCAGCTTTTTCTCCTTTATCATTGGAGACCCAAGACGAAAGACATATATGCTCTCATCCCAGTCAACAAGTTGTTAACAGAGTCCTTCCTTTGGTGGAGAGGGGAGACAACAGTGTTCAGAGGCAGAACACTGACGGACAGATCAGTAGATTTAGTCCTAACTACCGATGCGTCGGGAGAGGGCTGGGGGGCCCACATAGAGAATTTGAGGATCTCAGGGAGATGGGGTCCACAAGAGATATCGAGAGATATCAACTGGAAGGAACTGAAAGCAGTTCAATTAGCAATTACGCAGATTCGTCAACTAGTACAAGGAAGGAAGGTTCTGGTACAGTCGGACAACTCAACAGTAGTAACATACATAAACAAGCAGGGGGGAACTCATTCTCCAGGACTTTGTATGTTAACCTGGAGACTTCTCCAATTCTGTATAACAGAAAAGATAGAACTAAAGTCAATACACATACCAGGCAGGTTAAACCTGACTGCAGATGCTCTATCCAGGAGGTCTCAGATCATTCCAACAGAATGGACTCTTCAGAAACAGATACTGAACCAGGTATTTTATTTTTGGAGAGAACCTCAGATAGATCTGTTCGCCTCAAAACTAAATCATCAGTTGCCTGTATACATGTCTCCAGTCCCAGACAGCCAGGCTTTGGCTGTAGATGCTCTAGCTCAGAATTGGACAGGAATGTATGCTTATGCATATCCTCCAATATCCCTAGTAGCACGGGTGATCAGGAAGGTCCGTCAGGAACACATGACCTTGATCTTAATAGCACCATTCTGGGAGAGACAAGCATGGTTTCCAGACCTAATAGATCTGCTGATAGAGCACCCAATCAGATTACCTCTGAGGGAGGACATAATCAAGCAGCCTCACAACGGCTGGCTTCATCCATCCCCAGACATACTGAAGTTGACTGCATGGAAGCTGTCAGGAGACAGTATAGTGAGGAAGGATTTTCAAGAGCTGTTGCAAACAGAGCAGTTGAGGCTAGACGACCTAGCACATATCAGACATACAATGCTAAGCTGAACCTATATTCAAAATGGGCAGCAGAGAAGAGGTTTGACCCTTTTTCAGCAACTGTAGCTCAGATTGCTGATTTCATGGAGTATCTTTTTTCAGTTAAGAATCTCCAGGTTCGTACTATACAAGGTTATAGATCAGCTATTTCATTAATCCATCCCGGCTGGAATGGAGTTAAAGTGGGTAACCACCCAAGATTAGAAAAGCTGTTGAAGGCCTACTTTAATAGTAGACCTTCTAAGAGAAAGTTATCTCCTACTTGGAGTCTCACACTTGTGTTAAATATGTTAATGAAGGCTCCGTTTGAGCCTCTCATCCATGTTCCGTTAAAGTTTTTAACATTGAAAACTGTGTTTTTAGTTGCAATTTCTTCAGGTAGAAGAAGAAGCGGGTTACAGGCCCTGTGTTGTAAGGAGGGCCATATCAGATGGGATCAGACAGGTGTAGCCTTGATTCCACATCCTGGTTTTTTGGCAAAGAATGATTCTTTGTCATATGTTTCAAAGCGTATTTTTCTTCCAAAGATGGCTAGTTTGTCATCAGTTGAGGAGGACAGGTTAGTTTGCCCGTGTAGGGCTTTGAGTCAATACCTTTTAAGAACCAAGAAGTTCAGAAAGGGGGTAGAACAGTTGTTTGTTACTTACAAGGATAACTTGTGTCATGCTGCTTCAAGAGACACAATTTCAAGATGGATTGTTCAGACTATCGAGAGATGTTATAAAGAGTCCACAGACACAGATTTTTCTATGGCAAAGGCTCATGATACAAGGAGTCTATCGACCTCCATGGCCTTATTTAAAGGCATTTCAATGGAGGAGATCATGGAGGCTGCATCCTGGAAGTCAGAGTCAACATTTACCAATCATTATCTAAAAAACATGAGTCAAGAGACCGGCAGGTTTGCTCGAGCTGTATTGACATCAGAAAGAAGACAGTGATTTGACTTCAGGATCTTGGGGTGAGTATAATTATATTGATTTTTGAAACTCCCACCTCCTATTCAAGCTTTGGATTCTTGAAGTAGCCATATGTAGTTGTTCAACCTAGCAGGTAAGTATGATGCGAAGGAGATTACACCCTTTCTGTATAGAGAGGGTTATCTCCGAGCATCATACTTACCTGCTAGGTAACCCGCCCTCCTCCCCACGGTTTCATCTTCTGATAGATAACAAATTATGGCCTTCAAAAGATGGTTGCGCATGCGCGAGGGACCAGTCATAGGCATGACCAGGGGAGCGTTAATTTTTATTCTTGGCAGGTAATTATTGCGAAAGTGGAGTTAGCCATATGTAGTTGTTCAACCTAGCAGGTAAGTATGATGCTCGGAGATAACCCTCTCTATACAGAAAGGGTGTATTCCAGACCCAGATATATGATGGAAACAAACACTCTTTAGAAATGGAAGGGTCTTAGTTGCTTTAATAAAATTGTGAATTTCATAAGCTCCATGCTCCAGGTTTGTCCCAAGGGAGGGGGTGAATCTTACTAAAGGTTATATAGGAAAAAAATCTTTTTTATTTGGCAACATCGATAAGATCAGTTTTTACATAACTCAGGTGACCGTTAAGGCCCATGGGCCTCTTGTTTATATGGTATGTGCGACATCATATACTTTATAAGATATATTATATTGAAATTAAAAGAGATATCATATATACAATTTAAGCTATATGATATCTTGTATAGAATGAAATTTCGTCGCACGAAAAACGAGAAATAGGACATCACTGTATATATGATAGCTTATTTAATTTACATATAAGATATCTGATAGAATTTAATGAAATACAGGATCGACCTTGCTTCGTAAATAAATGGTTAGTTGGCTTTACCGTACAGATCACCGAGTGCACTAAAATTACTTGGACTCCGTAGGATCGGTTTCTCTTAAAACAGTGTAATAGTGTTATTGTGGAATTAATCACTTTTTCGGATCGTCCTACCAATAAAACCTATCAGTTAAATCGTTTTGCGTGTACCTAGCCCCATATCTGCTTAACAATTTCATCTATATTTCATGAGGCGAACGTTTCACTAAGCAGAGTGTTTACAATACTTTGCATAATACATAATGAAACTACTTTCCAGTGAGTACATTCATTAAGATTTTAGCAGACGTTAGATAAGCCAGATTAAATTTAACTGTATCCTTAAGGATCCCCGTCCCTCCGCCTAAAAATATAATGAGGCATTGTTTTTTCTACGGCATCGCTATTTCATAACCAAATCATTTCAACATTCCATACCTTGCGGGAGTTTCTTCAGATTTTTTGGGATATTATGAAATTTCGACTTTTTTCCATTTTTTTCTCCAGTGGAACAAAATGAAACAAAACACATTTTATTTGATGCACATTGGTTTATTAGAAATATAACACATACAAAATAATAGCAATTTCCATATTGATGAACAAAACACAAAACATTTGAGTAATTTTCTAACATTAATACTAAAACAAACAAAAATGCCCGTTACATGAATCAATCAAATTCCGAGTGCCAATGCAACACGTTTAGGACCACGAAAAGAAAATATAGGTGACAAAAAATAAATATATTGCGGACTTACTTATTATACAAAAAAATATAAAGATACAAAAAGATTATACAAAAAAGAGAGACAGCTCTTACATTTGTACCAATAATTATACAACTTACAACATACAATATAGCACTTTTTATATACGAAAATAATAAAGTAGGCATTACCAACCAATAAAATTACTTCAAATGTAATAAACAATATAAAACAATATCTAACACAACAGGAGAATAGATTAGGAATACCAAAGTTTCAAAGACTGATTGATTCAGCAGTTAAGATGTTTTTGTATTTATTTCAAGATTAGTTACATTGTTTGATTTCTCGTTACCTTTTGCCCCTGGGGAGGGGGTGAACTTTACTATAGTTTATATAGGAAAATGCACCCTTTGGGTATATTTTGTTCATTTTCTACTGGAAATCATTCAAACTAGATTTTGATACTTTTGACATTTTTAACCCTGTCTCATCCTCAGGGGCTGAGAGGCGGAGCCAAAATGGGGCCATAAAGCCAGAAATTTCAACAGTCATCTTCTCCAGACTGAGAAAGACTGGTAACCATTACTCTATATGGGTGGAAGGCTCTTGAGTTGCTTCATTAAAATTGTGAATTTCATGACCGCCAGATTCCATGTTTACTCCTGGGGAGGGGGTAAAGTTTACTATAGTTTAAATAGGAAAATGATACTTTTGGGTATGTTTGGTTCATTTTCAATTTTCAATTATTCAAACTTTACAGACATTATAACTATGAAATGACGGTTTGATACTTTGACACTTTGGGTCTGGGCCCGCCCAAAAGGGCTGAGGAGCGGGGCTAAAAAAAGGGGTCAAATTGCCTAAATTAAAAAATCTTATCCAGACCAAGATATGCTTGAAACAAGTAATCTACATAGATGGAAGGGTCTTAAAGCACTTTATCCCCTGGAGTTATGGTAAAGTTTACTAAAGTTATATAGAAACATGATGCTTTTGGGTATACTTGGCTCATTTCCAATTGGAAATCATTGAAACTTGATAGACATTATAACATTATAATGACAGTTTGATACTATGGCAGTTTGGGCTTTAGTCATCTTGGAATTCTTCTCCAGACTCAGATATGCTGGAAACAAATAATCTTCATAGATGGATAGGTCTTCAGGTGCTTTATCAAAATAATGAATTTCATGACCCCCAGGCTCCACTTTTGCCCCTTTGCAAGGGTTAAGTTATTACTACAGTTTGTATAAGAAATTGATACTTTTGGATAAATTTTGTTCATTTTCAATTGGAAATATTGATTTTGACCCTGGCCCACCCCCAGGGGCTGAGGGGCAGGGCCCAAAGGATTCGAATTAGCTTACATTTAGGCAATCTTCTTTTCTTTTCCAGACCCAGATATCTGATGGAAACAAACACTCTTCAAAAATGGAAGGGTCTTAGTTGCTTTATTAAAATTGTGCATTTCATAAGCTCCATGCTCCAGGTTTGTCCCGGGGGAGGGGGTGAATCTTACCAAATGTTATATAGGAAAAAAATCTTTTTTATTTGGCAACATCGATAAGATCAGTTTTTACATAACTCAGGTGACCGTTAAGGCCAATGGCCTTTTGTTTATATGGTATGTACGATATCATATACTTTATAAGATATCTTATATTGAAATTAAAAGAGATACATGTATCATATATACAATTGAAACTATATAATATACAAGCTCTTTCGTAACCTATATAAGATATCTTGTATAGAATGAAATTTCGTCGCACGAAAAACGAGAAATAGGACATCACTGTATATATGATAGCTTATTTAATTTACATATAAGATATCCTATATAGAATTTAATGAAATTCAAGATCGGCCTTGCTTCGTAAATAAATGGTTAGTTGGCTTACCGTACAGATCACCGAGCTCACTAAAATTACTTAGACTCCGTAGGATCGGTTTCTCTTAAAACATTGTAGTAGTTTTGTTGTCGGCTTTATCAATCTTTCGGATCGTCCTGGACACCAATAAAACCTATCAGTTAAATCGTTTTGCGTGTACCTAGCCCCATATCTGCTTAACAACTTCATCCATGTTTCATGAGGCGAACGTTGCACTAAGCAGAGTGTTTACAATACTTTACATAATACATAATAACACTACTTTCCAGTGAGTACATTCATTAAGATTTTAGCAGACGTTAGATAAGCTAGATTATATTTGATTGTATCCTTAAGCACGGATCGATGAAAAACGCCATCCAATAAAAATATCAAACTCAACAGGAGAATAGATTAGGAATACCAAAGTTTCAAAGTCTGATTGATTCAGCAGTTTAGATGTTTTTGCAATTATTTTAAGATTAGTTACATTGCTTGATTTATCGTTACCTTTCTCTCTACCTGCTCTTTCTTTTCGTTGGTGTGTTCCCAGGGACCACTGGTATACCCTTTGTCAGAATAATGTTTTTCATGTAGTGTCGACGTCGATGTAAGCTAATCCAGCTTCTTGGGACGCATCTTGATACTGATCTATAATTGTGTCCGGTTGTGAGTAACATGTAGGTACAAAGTTTTGGTGATGATGACGCCAGTGTTTTTTTTAGCCGGGATTTAAAACTATTCAGGAAGGGGGCCTCTACAACTTTATTTGGGAGAAAGTTCCATTCGTTACGTTGAGCCTCATCTTTCTCTTAAAAAGCTTTTTGGAGTTTCCTCTTGTTGTGACCAATGTAGCCATTTTAATAATTTTGTCTTTGTACAAAATGTCAATGTCATTGGTAATTTTATAGATTTGTACGACATCTCCTCTCAATCTTCTATATTTTAAACTGGGGATGCCCAGTGTACAAAGTCTTTCACTGTAGGATTGTCCTTTTAAGAATGGTAAGCGTCTTATTGCCCTGCGTGGGACATTTTCAATGGCAAGATCTTTTTAAAAGATTGGAGACCATATGCAAGTGGCATATGCTAACAATTGGGTGGACAAGTGGATTTCGACTTTCCGATCGTGAACTTTCCCTTTCTTGATAGCAAGACCGTGTTTATACATGTCACAGTTACTTCGGTACTCAAGAGCTTGCACTGAATATCAGGTCTTCCTTGGTAGATGTCGACTGCTGACGGACAAACTTATAGCACAGGGTTTCCAAAGTGCAAGTTGATGAGCAAATGTGATGGTCGTCATCAGGACCTCGCAGTGGAATATGCTTTTTCTCTGTGTCATATGAAGGTCGATCTCATGAATTTGTTCATTAGTGGTTGTTTTTTTTATATGAGAGTTCTCTATGTGAGGACGTGCCATTGCTAGGATTCGAATTTACATGGCGGGTGTCATCGACGAAGCAGAACATGCTTTCGCTTCCGAAACACCTGGTCCTACTCTTCTTGCACTTTTTCAAGGGTCTCCATGTACATCTTTCATTTG